CCAATGCAATCTACCTAAAACAAAATGACTATGATACTCCCCTCCTTAAAAACCTTCAGTGAAGCCACATTTCCTACATGGTATAGAGAACCCTCCACCTGCAGATCTCTCTCTCTTTAGCTTCTCTTGCCATTACCTGCTTGCATTTGTTATTCCAGTAATAGAGGAATGCTTGTTATTTTTCCTGAGAGCCCCCATGCTGATCATTGCTTCCATATCCCTGCTCATCGTGATTTTGATTTCTCTGTCTGGAATGCCCTCACCACTTTTCTGATTCTTAATTGTTCTTCTATCCCAATTCAGGCATCATCTCCTCAGGGAACCTACCCTGAAGGTCCAGGTTGGGTTAAATGTCCCTTCTTTCTGCTCTACATAGTGATTACCTCTGTCTTTTCAGTTTAAAACATCCTTTAAAAAACTTTAGGGCCAACCGAGTGGCGCATTGGTTAAGAGTTGGCTTGGAAGTGCGAACTCTGAGCAGCAGGGCCCTGGTTTGGATCCACATGGGCCAGTGATGCTGCGCCCTCTACAGCTAAGATGGTGAACAACAGCTTGACCTGGAGCTGGACTGCTGTGAGTCGCCAGCAATGGCTGTCCAATGGCCTGTGAGCGATTGCCTCACCTGGGAAGAGTGCAATGATAATACCAACATGGGCCAGTGAAGCAATGTCCTCTACAACTAGACTGAAGAACAAAAAGGACAGCAACTTGTCTGTTCCCCTTTCCCAATTCCCCAACGCTGTTCCCCTCTCCCAATTCCCTAATAAAAATCTTTAAAAAACAAAACAACAAAACAAAAGAAACATTTTAAACCTACTTACTTTGTGTACTTTTTCTTGTAATTTTGATATCTGCAGTCTGAGTATACCTTATTTTACAGTTTGGAGTCTCTCTAGACTCTTGTTTATGGAGGTCTGTTTTCTTGTATGTTTGATATATTTTATTAGGACCTATATATATTTGGTTAAATTTTAACTTTGTGAATCCCAAAGGGCCTATATTGAGATGACCTGCCTTGGTTTCTCCTGGGGGATAGGGGACACTAACAACCTTGAACTATTCCTATTTATTTATTGGATTGGGATTTCTCAGACTGTGAGCATGGCATAAATTCAAACCCTGAGACTGCATGAGACTAGGGCTATGATTATAAATTATGAGGAGAAATTATTAGTATTCATATTGTTAGTCTTTTCAGTCAGTTATGATAATTTTGTCTATTTCTCAAATCTGTCTCTCCTCCCCATTCAGTCACCAAAGACAGATTGGTTTTCTTGTTAGTTCTTGTTGCCAGGATGCAGATTTTCTTCTTCGTGTCTTCAAGATATTGCCCCTTTGGGTGCCAGTCTTAGATTCAGCTCCCCTACTTTGTCAAGTCTAAATACTATTCCTCAGTGTGGCCAATAACCATCAAAGCTTTAGGTTTCTGAGTTGGGCATATTTTTAGGGCA